CCGGGTCCGGGACACGAACCGCGGTCGACTACGTGGGAGTCCAGCGACATAGCCATTACGCTAACTGCTGGTTCCCTCAGCAAATATTTTTGAAAGAATAAATGACTAGCTAAGTCCTAGTACATGACTTGAAAACATCTTTTTGTTGTTTGTTTTTGTTTTGCTTTGGTTTTTGCCCATGAACTCACTAGAGACAAAGAAACGGAAGGAAAGTGAGAAATGGTCACACCACGATCCCTTCTCCAGTCTGCTCCTGGAATTTTGGGCACACATGCACACAAGCCATGTATGATTTTCAATTTCTGAATAGCACAGTTGGCCTGTGGGATCCAACACTTAACCTTCATACCACTGCTGGACCCAAAAGATCATTTTTATAGTGAAGGGGGGAATTTTTTTTTCAATTTATTTATTTGCATTCATTCACTGTACATCATTACAGCATACAAAAGGAGATTTTCCATCCAGAGTACATTGTATATTGTCTCAATCAAGCACATCAACAAACATGTTATTGTCAGCAAATGATCTTCCATTTCTTGTTTTCTGTATGTTTTACTTTTTTTTCCCCCATCCTTGATTCCCTGTCTCTTACCCTCCGCCATCTCCCACTCTCCTCCCACACTGTCTCTGGTATCTATATTTGCTTTCTATACTGTTTTCCCCCCACATTTTATTGAATCACCAAAGACCCTAATCAATCCAAATACCCTCCTAGCAAACACAGGTGACACACACATTTCCATGAACACAAGTCTAACTTTACGCATCCTATAAAGTAGCACCTAGCTGGGGCTACATATCCTACTGCAGTCATTGAATAGATATATTTTTTTTCCTGAAACTTTTTTTTTTTGTAACTCAATTTACATTCCTTCCCTAAGCATCATCACAGCACACAAAATGCGATCTCCCATCCAGTACACACTGCATAGTGACTCAATCATGCACATTATAAAAAATTTTCCATTTCTAGTTCCTAGAATTATTTCCACCCCTCTTTCTGACCCTCTGTCCCTTCGGGGAATTGTTTTTAAAACATGGCACCTCAGGGGTGCCAGCAGACGTCGTGGAGGCTAAGGTGCTAGGACATGGAAGGGTATGCATGTGTGCCCAAAATGTTGTGGGATGGCTTCTGTGATGATATCTGGGTTCTTGGTGTTTCAAACAAAGAACTGAACAAAACATACAAATAGCGAAAGGAAAAGGTAGTTCATTAGGTAAAAGCAAAAGTACGCTTCTGAGAGGTAGGAGAAGGCTTGAGTGGACAGAGAAAGAGTGGCTCAAGGGGCCGGCAAGTGGCATGGTGGTTAAAGGTGCTAGGCTCCCACATGGCCAACCACGGTTCAAGTCTCGGACCTGGTGGCTTGCTTTCTCCCTTCCTCTCTCTCTCTCTGTCTCTCTCTGACCGAACTGGAAAATAACAATGATAATAATAATAAATAAAGTTAAATAAAATAATTCTTAAAAAAAAAACAACATCTATAAAAGAGCCTTTTCATAATAGCTCAGAGGCTCCTCCCCCTATTTTCAAACTATCTGTAAACTTATCATTGGCAGCCAAGAAGTATCAATTTTTTGTAAGACAGAAAGCAAGAAGTCACCCCCCAGAGGAATTACACCATAATCCGTTCTCCAGTCTCCTTTCTGGATCTTGGCCATGCGTGTGCGCGCGCGCACACACACACACACACACACACACACCCTGCGTGAGTTGGGTCCAGAGCTCAAACCGCAGTCGATTACGTGGGAGTCCAGTGATGTAACCATTAGACCATCTATTGGTCCCTGTAATTTTTTTTTTTTTTTTGGAGAGATTTTCACTGTAGGGCGCGTGCGCTCGCCAGACAGACAGAGAGAGACATAGAGACAGAAAGCGAGAAATCACCCCCCGGGGGGATGGTCACGCCGGGGATCTTGGGCACGACGCACACGTGCCCGGCGTGAGTTTCAAGCCACCGGGTCCGGGACACAAACCGCGGTCGACTACGTGGGAGTCCAGCGACATAGCCATTACACTAACTGCTGGTTCCCGGTCCCTGTAATTTTTCAATCTAGGTGGTGTTGGTTGATCATTGGCTGGGCCCATTGATTGTTCTCATCTCACTGGGTCTGTCAAATGTGGCTGAGTCCTCTGATTTCTCATTGACTGTGTCAAATATGACAATCAGTTAGACATCATTCACTAAGCTCCTGCCTACATTATCTTGGATGGGGAATTTTCTGCCCTGATTGTTTTGTGTAATTTTTCAATCTAGGTGGTGTTGGTTGATCATTGGCTGGGCCCATTGA